ATATATATATATATTTTTTTAATGGAAAGAAAGCAGTGAAAATTTCACATAAGAGTCTCTGATTGGAAACTGTCTTTTTAATCTTAGTTTTTTTCTGTTTCATGCAGCTCAAAGTCCTCAGAGTATTGCAAATTTTCTCAAATGCAAATAGTGCAGTCAGCTTCCCTACAAACACTGACCTCGGCTATTCTATAGTCTCAGATAAACTACTGTATAGGGAACTGCTCATTCAGTTAACTTTATCTGTTAGACTTAGCCCAAGAAAATTAACTTGTGCATTGCATTTTATAATTTCTGCTGAGTGGGTTCCTTTTTTGAGATATTCTGACAATATTTTGCAATCAGAAGCTGGAAACTGATCTAGAGGGACTGCTGGATTCTAGCTATACACATTAATCTCCCTGTGGTTGGATTTGACTGTGCCTTATTTTGGAGATATGCTGTGATCACTTACAAAATCTCAATGTCATATCACCAAATGCCCTAGATAAATGGGTGGGAGAAATCTGTGGTGTTCTTGAGCTGTCTTGGAGTAGTTTCCTTCTGCATGAACAAAGAGAGGATGTAACCTAAAGGAGAGAACAACACAGTGTAATCTGTCCATTCTTTCCTGAGTGTCGCAGTACCCTTTCAGCATCACTTTGTAGTTATTGCATATTTTTACTGTCATTCTCATTTAAACTTCATCACAGCCCTGTAAATCCCAGAAATATATTTTAAGGCAACTATGAAAATGCGTGTCCAAAAGAATTTGCAGCCTGCATGCCAAGCAGTGTGAAATGTGTAAAGGAGAGGAAAGTTAAGAATGGAATTAGAAAACAAGGCTACAATGAAGTCAGGATATCTTCAACAAAGAGCTGAGAACTGTTCGCTGTGGTTATTCATTCTAAGCAAACTGAAATGTGTTGCATTGTTTTAAAGGCAGGAGAGGTTTCTGGCTTTATAGAAAAAGGTCTGTAAATAATTTCATTCAGGCATTGTTTTAACAGTAAATAATAAAGGAAAACACAACCAATTACTCTTTAAATTGTTGAGGAGTGGGGAAGAATGCTTCCAAGTGTTTGTTTGTTTGTTTCTAATGTGACCTATTTCTATGTGTGTAAGGAATGCAGTGTATGATTTCCCTTAGTCTTTCACATTGCTTCTTTAATGGCATGGATGCGTTCATTACGTGCTTGGTGTGTGTGTGTGTTAGTACTTTACTACTGTTTCAGGCATTAACAGCACAAGCAAAATTTCCAGTGTTGCGTACAGAATACACCGCCTCTGCTGGTTTATGTAGATTTGGGCATGAAGCTTTTGAGTTTAGCCATCACTCATTCCCAAGAAAGCATTTTTGGTATTACTGCTAAATCAGCCAGCTGCCAGCTATCTCAGTTGCTGAAGTTATCTAAGGAAAGGGGCAAGTCTGTCTTTCGAAGCAGCTACTTGGAAATTCACAGCTAACGAATTAGATCTGTTGAGCAAAATCAGTTACTCCTCAAAGTTGACTGTCAGCCTGACAACTTTAAGGAAACAGAACAGCCTGAATGCTTCATTTCCTTGGCAGAAGTGAGAGCAAGTCGTCTTTTTTTAATCTCATTTATTGACCAGACCAACCTAAGCTTTTTTCCCCAGATGAAACAAAATCCCAGTTGTCATTCCTCTACTTTAGTGCAGCACTGATGTGCATATCTGTCATGTCAAATATAGAAAAAATTATGATTTATCCTTTCTCTCTACTCTAGGTGAGAAATGTGTTGTACCAAACGATGACACCCTGGCTGGAAAAGCTGAAGACAGAGCTTCCAGTTCTTCAAAAAAAGCTGGTAACCACCTACAGAGCGTGACTAGCTGCTACTTACTGTTTTAACGTCACAGATAATGGACGTGTGCTTTTTCTCTACTAGAATGTGTCATAACATCTGTAGGAAGTCCTGTTCACTTTGTCAGTGTACAGCAAACATTTGGAACTTGGATGCGGGAACCTGCAAACATAAGCGATGAAAGGATTTGGCTTACCATGCATTTTTCAGGTACAGTACTAGTAGTCACTGACCAAAAATCAGTTGTTACACTAACATTGCTTTCTTAATTCCATCAGTCTAACCTGATATTTCTAATCAAGTATGACGGGTTTTTTACCCACAGCTTTTTCTGAATATGTTCCATATTACCTGTATAATACTTGACTATACATATGGTTATAGACATTGGTAGTATCTTTAAGACATTTTCAGAGTCAACATTAGATTTTGAAAATAGTTTGAGGATTTTAGAGTTTTTTAACCAATCCAAGTTTAAATGCCTGTTGTTCATGCCTTTTTATTATTTTCTTTCAACAGTTTCCTATGGCTTTACTTCCGTAAATTGTAGCTAGAAGTTTTGCCTTTTCATTTAGATAGGCAGGAAAATTTCCAGGACCTAAGTGGAAAAAGGAAATATTTTTTGTATATTTACCAGCTGTGTTCAGAATTAGGGCCCATCAGATCTGTGGGAAGCAGGCCCTTGAACACCACCTCTGTAGATTTTTCTTTTTTTGTACGTGTGTGTTTGTCTCTGGATTATTTTATCACGTTCCAGCAAGTTGAATCACTATTGAAAACTCAAATACAATTGTGGTCTGTCAGATATTTGATTGACTTTCAGTAGAGACTGAATTTTAGGGTAGAGATTTCAAAATTAGATGAATCAAATAATAGTCCTTTTTTTTTTTCATGTTTCCCCTTTGTTTAGGAAACACTATAAAAGAATATGAGAACTCCAATGCCTTGCTGAATGACAGCTACAGGATCATTAACATCACAGGATTCTTTTACGGATGTGGTCATGCAGTACAAAACAATCATCTGTACTATCAAAAGGGAGGAACCAACGTCATTCTGAAGTAAGTCAAACACAGTTGGCTTAAGGCAAGTGATATTGTGGAGTTAGAGTGACAGAGGGGTGAATCTCAGAAAAGGAGACCACTTTCCTAGTACCATTTTGTGTTTCTTTTCTAGAATAGGAAGAATGGAGGAATAGTTCAGAATTCTTTCCGGAACAGAACAACTAATTCTTTCTGATCTGTAACTAGAATGTGGGCCACTGGCCTTCCGTCTGCGTGTGCAGATGCTGTGGGAGGAGAGGAACTGGCAGGGAAGTCCAGGTCCGTTCCTCTGCTGTGACAGACAGTTCTATGCGCACTGTTCAGCTCTAAGTGGCTAACCTGAGTAGGTACTACATGACAGGGCAACTGGACCTCCAGATTAACAAGACGCCCTATGCAGAGGTGACAACGCTTTTTCCTTCTGGCTATCCTGGGGTCCAGTGGGTTTCTATTACACATTGCATTGCTGTGGGTGGTCTTGCACTGGGATTCTTTGCTGTGTTTGTAATGGCGAGAATGAAATGGGAACTGGCTAAAGGAATTTGGGGGTTAGAAAAAAGTATTTGATATAAAAAATAAGCTGTGCATCTACCTGCATCAGAGCAAGAATTGGTTCAGCTGCAGTCTGGGTGACACAGATAGGTGGTTATATGATTGTAGCCCACTTGTGGAACTTGGCTTTCCAGAGCTTCTTGCTGGGTTGGTGGACATGCTTTGCCCTCGGAGAGCACTGTTCTTAGCTGGTAGGGGTTGAGAGTAGTGCAGAGGAATGCACCAAGGCACAAGCTGAGGACGTGGCGACCTGGTGAATTGCACATTCCATTAAGGAGGGGCAGCTCCCCTGTTCATTTCCTCATAATAAGAAGTTCCTACACCTCTTCCATTGTATCTCCCTGAACTGGAACTGGGAATTGCATCTCTATTTCTTCCGTTTCTACTGAAGACAGAGACAGACAATACAAATCAAAACCAAAGTCTCATCTTGTGGGAAGAGCCAAAGACAGACAGTCCAAGGGCAAGTGAAAGATTGCATCTGCTTTCAAGTTCTCTTGCATGACTCTGATGTTTGAGCCAAGAACTTGACTGTACTTTGATGTCTATTCCCAAGCAGGTGTGAGTGCTGCCTTCCTATATTCATTTGGATGCCAAGGAATGTGGGCAAACTCCTTGGATTCGATAATATTTATTCTGCCAAAGACAAGCCCTCCTTTAAATCTTTAGGGCTTTTTGTTTATACATCTGTAAAAGACCATCTCTGTCTAAGCAAGACACACTGATATGACAGAGGTTCCTCACCTTTGTTTGGTTACTGTTAATTGGGAAATGCCTTCACGTACAGATGAACACAAGCTATTTGTGGAATTTTGAAAAACTCTCTTAGAAGTTGCTGAGAGATGGCTTTTCTGTTCAGTTATTCACTCGAAGATTATTTACCTTCAGCACGGAGAGAATGAGGCACTATGAATTCTGTGACAGTGAAGCCCTTGATTTTGGCAGAAAATTGCAGAAAAGCTTCTGTGAGTTTCTGTATTGATTTAATAGAAAGAACAGGCAAGGACCTGGTTGGTTCATTTTGCAAATGTTGAAAAAATATTTAAAAGGAGTTTCCTGTCATATTTAAAAGCTGGTAAAACTAAGTTTGTCTGACCTTTGGCATGTTTTCTCATGATGGTCAGATTCCTGACAATATGATTGCTTCATCCTTTCTTCCTGTTTCATAATATGCTTTCCCACCTCTGTCATTTCTGATTGACGTAATTCATCTTGGTGATCAGAAAAGTGTTTATAGCTTGAGTTCCCTGCGGTTGATAAAAATATTACACTATATCTTGTCATTTACCCCAAGGTGCCAGAAGATTAAAGAATTTCTGAACCATTTGGAGTTCTAGGCTAGACTTTCCTTGACTGGGGGAGCGGAAGAGAACATCAGGAATGAAACCTCACTTTTTCTGCTCCCTTCAGGATTTTCACATAAAAGAGGAAAAGACAGGGTGTTCTGTGTTGCAGATCTTGCACATTTCTAATGAATACGAGATGCTATTTATCTTGTTGGCTCTTTATAGAAAAAAATCCTGAGGAAAATCTGCATTTCTATGTAACTTTTCCTGCTAAGGGCTGTCCTTTTAGCCCTTGCCCAAGGTTACTTACAAATGGGAAGCAACTAACAAGATTAACTGGGTTGACACACACATTTCTTGGAAATCTTCTCCAGCCTTGAAGCCGTTTTTATTGCACATGCATGCTGCTGGAGTTGCTGCAGACAGCAGTTTTACAAAAGCTGAGGGGAATCATCTAGTTAGTCATTCTTGACTTTTCTTAGTATATGCTTCAATGCCTCTTCCACAGAAAAAACATTCTTCCAGTATTTTTCCTTCTATTGTAAGTTCCTGGATCTGAAATATTGCTGTCATTAAGCCTGTCTTTTCAGAAGACTTTTGTAACTGTAGCAGATTCCTGTACTGAGTAATGTTTCTTCTCTATTTGAGGAATAGAGCTATACAGTTAGGTAGAAGTCAGACAATGAATTGTGCTTCATTACAGAAAGCATCTTAAAAGGATAAAGCACGCTCTCTCTGCCTTTGCTAAAGCACTGTGCTATTCAGTGATTAAATGCTAACCGCAAATGTGTCTTGATAGTAGCTGATTACCCTCTTAAACTAGTAGAGGAACTGAATTTAGCTGCTCAGTGCTGCTGTCCTCAGATTATCCTATTAAGGAATTTCAAGGAATAAAAAAAAATTTAATACATCAGAGATGAGACATTCAGGCTGTCCTGTTGGAGGCCAGCATGAGGTCAGAATTTTGGCTCTGCAAAAGTAGAATTTTTATTCCTTTGATGTTTACTTGAGCAAATCACTGCATTATCTCAACTGTTTTCAAAAGAGGAACTCTAAGACTAGGTGAACCTGCCCAGAATTCACGGTGGTTCGGTCAATCACATTTTCTCCCTTTAGTTCCCAACCTAGTAGAAAGCAAAGTTCTGTACAGATTTAATTTCACAAGTTGGGTTTTCACCTGGTATCTAATTCTTTTTCATACCCACTCCTTTTAGTTGCTTCTTTCATCTTAGTGATAATAAAGCTCATAGACTAAATAAAGTGAAACCTACCACAGCAAGTTCATGCTCTTGTGCATCTTTTAGATTATTACTTTGGAATTTTCTCCTAGTGTTTTGGAAGGTGCTTTGAGTGGACTACTTCATATTGAAAGACATCAGAATGGTCCTTGAACTCAAGTATTTTCAACAATGCAGTAATAACAACAGTTATCAGTAACAATGCACTCTGAATTGATTCTACCAACCAGTGTGTATAGAAATGAATTTTTAACGCAACACACTGAATACTTTATCTCGTTTCAGACTTGGGCTTGACAAAGCATCGTTGGGCACACTACTAATTGAAAATGCCTTATATCATGGTCGTAACTACCTCTTTTCTAACTCGAAGACTTACTTCAACGTAGCAGTGGATGAGAAGGGTCTTTGGATTATATATGCCTCAAGCACTGATGAAAATATAATAGTAGCACATATTGATGAAGAAACATTCTCAGTCATTCGGCATATCAATACTACATACCCTAAGTCTAAGGCTGGTAATGCATTCATAGCATGTGGCATTATGTATGTTACTGATACGAAGGATATGACAGTAAGTTTTGCTTTTGATTTATTGAAGGAGAAGCAGATTGATGCAAGGTTTGAGTTACGGTCTTCACAGTCTGTTCTTGCTATGCTTTCATACAGTCTAAGAGATAAGAATTTGTACACATGGGAGAATGGGAGCTTGATGGTATACCCTGTACATTTTGGCAGATGAATATATTTTAAACTGTCATGTATGGGAGCCATGTTTGACTAAATAGATTATTTAAAGGTATGTGATATACACATGGGGGTCTCTCCACTTGGTATAGTTTTTTGTTCACTGATGGTGGTTTGTGAGTGTGTATAAAAGGGAGATCAGACACCTTTGTATGAACACATTGCAATTATATAGGCCATTTTTGTCTTTTTAAAAGAATAGCTGTTCAATATTGCAGCTGGCACACAGCACAGACTTGCTTTTGTTTTTCCCTTATTCAGCTAATTAGATATCTAATGTACATTGATTATTCCATGGTCGTGTACTCAGCGGAGACTATTTATAACTTTGAGTTGCAATCATCTTATCTGCAGTCATTTTTGAGTCAGTGAGTATGGTCTGGTAAAAATGTCTAAATAATGAGTCTTTGCGTACAAATACCTTTGTCATTTTTCATTTACTACCTTCCACTGATTATGAACTTTTTTTCTGGACAACAATATACAGCTGTTAAAAATAATGCAGATGGAAATAGTTGTCTAAATAGAAAAAATAGCAGAAAGCTTCAAATTTGACAAGTCTACAGAACTGTTACATAATCAAAAGCAAAATCCAGCCCAAGTAAAAGGAAAATGAGAATAATGGTGTTATTAAATATTGCATATATATGAAATTGTCTTTAGTAAATGGAGTGTGGGAAGAAAAGCAGAGAGGTATAAAATTGAAGAGAAGATGTAAAATTTATTATTAAAATTCCCTTTTTAACAGTGTGTGAGTTGCTTGTGTTGCTGCAGACCCTTCTTGCCCCTCACTACCATGTAAACTATACCACTATAACTTGCTTATAAGGTATATTTCTAAAAAAAAATTTTCCCACGTTCATCCCTACAAATGAATTAATAAAATAAAGGTTATACTTCTTTGTTGATATTTTTAGAAAAATAAAATATCTGGAACAGGAATGCATGTATTCATCATAGTGCTTAGTGATTTGTTATTAATCTTAATTCAGAGATTGCCCACTCCCATTCAAATTTTTGAGAGCTCGAGATGAAAAATAAGAGGAACTTTTTGATTTTAATTTTGTTTTGGTATTTCAGATTTCTAAATTTCACATTGAAACATAAATCTCTACTGTTGCTTTGTGTACTTATATTCAAAATCACACTCTCAGAAAACCCTTACCTGAATTTCTAAGCTGCCTGTGTGTATTGGTAAAGTTCACGGAGCTCATCCAAATATTTAGAAGCTAAGGATCACTTAAACCCTGAACTGCACTGAGCTGTTTTAACACCTGTGTGACATCTGGGCACCATCAAAAGGATTAATAAATTCGGGACTGTCTATAGCTGCAGAACCTTGTCTAGCAGGTATGCTGGAGAAAAGCCTCTGCTGCAGCTAAACTTCAGGGTGTGGTACAGGGATGTCTGGGCCTGGGCTGCACCCTCTCTTCCCAGCATACTTGCTGCTTTCACTAAGGTCAGAATTCAGGCCTTGCATGCTAAGGAGAGAGATGCAGAGGGAAACAAAAAACCATAATTCTTTGAACTAGTATATATATCAAAACTCATATACCAAGAATTCTATCTATACCTATAAAGAGTGCAAAACTTCATAATCCAGATCTACGGTTTTGTGTGTGTGGGCTTCTTCTGACTTTTGTGGGGTGTCAGGGCTTTTTGGGTTGGTAGTTTTTTTTGTGGTGTGGTTTGTTTAGGGGTGATTTTTTTTGTGGTTGTGTTTGTTGTGGTTTTTTTTTAAGATTGAATTATGATACTAAAAAAGTAGACTTTTTGGCTAGAAAAAGAAAGCTTGGCCATATACTTGTACAAATATAGTTCAAGCCAGATGTGACAGATAATGTGCCTATTTTAAATCATGTTAAATTTCTGAAAGTCATTGTTGAACCACTTGGAACAACTTGGAGAAGGAGCGACAGCAAACTCTGCCTCTTTTCTCAGTGACAGAATGAGGCAGTGTTTCTTGCAGCTGCCTCTGTTGGAGATTAAGAAGTAAATTTTGTTAACCTTATGCTTTTTTTGGACAGCTGAAAATAAAATGCAAACAGCTAATCCTTTTCATCTTAATACAGTCTGAGGTCAAGTTAAAGCTAGCTCAGGCAGTATGCAGTCTATCTACTGGAGGTTTAGTTAAATCTATTTAAATATAAGGAAAAGTTCTGGAATGGACTGTTCCATGAAATAAAAGTAATTTATTTAACTTACAAAGGGAAAACTAAACAGTGACATTTACTCCTTTCTTTTCATACTTCCCATTCTTCACAGCCTGCAATTTAAAATCACCTTGGAGAAAGGTGCTTTTTATTCTAGTATATTTTCCAATACAGCACAGACATCAAAATTTTCATTGGAGGAATAAGACAGTTTGTTAACATTTAAATACAGACATCCGTTCCAGTCTCTTAAGAACATGTTTTTTGTTTACAACAAAAAAATACATCTGACAACAGTAGCTAGTTATATTACAAGCAAACAATATTGAACTCTGCATAGTTTATACAATATACTGTGGTAATAATTTAATTACCAGTTTTATCCGCTATTTACTAGCTGGCCACATAAAGCCTGACATTCATTTGAAATGTGGCATTATATGTTCCATTGGTATTGTCTTAACAGCTTCATTTAATGAAGTATTTTCTGGACAAATGAATTTCAAAACTAAAAGCCGACTAGAATCATGGATGTCTTCACTACAAACTTTTAGTGCTTACAATACATTCCTAAAGTAAAGGCAGGTGTCCAATAGAAAACATAGCTGTCAGAAAGAAAGGAAAATAGTGTGCAAATTAAAAAAAAATCGCATTTAAAAATGTGTTGATGTGCAAGTTACAGTACCAACTGTGTATTAATACTAACTGGGAAAAAAATCTCAGCATAAAGTGATACGTCTCACAGTACGTTCTTGATTGCACATGTTCCACGGCATTTGCATCCATTACACTTTCTCGCAAAAATCAAATACACTGAGTACCCTTAATTAGAACTAAACTACTTTACAATGAGAAGTTGTACACATGCTTCAGCAGGTGGAAAAAACTGGAATAAAAATAATCAGAATCACATCAGAAATGCTTACTGACTTGTAGAGCCACAGTGCTTGTTAAGTGACTGACAGCTGTCAGAATCTTTACAATACTTACTAAATGCAGCTTGTGGGTTACTGAGCAATAACCCCACCTGTGACTGACGGTACTGGGTTTAATTCTTTGCTTTTACAATACAGTACATGCATTTCCACCCAGTGATCCTTATGGGCATACTCAAAACATACCTGTTGTAAAAATTTGGGTTTTTTTTTTAATCTTTTTTCCCATAATACTTAATGCTGCAGTAACTGCTTTGAAAGGAAGCAGGATGTTTCCTTTCCACAGTGCATATCACTGTGATTTTAGCTGCTTAAAGGGTCATTATACAAAACCAGGATTAGCTCATGTAACACTACAGAATGTCAAAAATGCCTGAAGGTACATTGAAAGCGTTGGGAAGAACCCTCATTTTCAGCGTGCCATCTGCTCCACAGGAGAAGATACGATTGCCTTGCACAGTTTCAATCTGGGTGACACCAGCACCAATGTTTCTGAAAATGGACTGCTTAGCATGTTCATTTTTAAATGAATGAATTAAATTATAGCCAGTCAGTCTCCACACCTGTATCAAAAGAATGACAAATGACAAAAGGAGATTAATGTTAGGATTTGTATTTTTTCCCCTAATGTTTCAGATTCTTGGGCTGTTCTAAACCCTATTCAGCAAAGATAAAGGGTATTTTTTGTTGTCTATTAGCAACACTTACAACAAGTCCAAGACTCTTGAGAGGCTCCTGATGAAGCATAAGGCAAGACCGTGTAAGGCTGCCTTAACGCGGTCCAGCTGGTTACGGGGCAGGCTGAAGCTGCCCTGTGTTACCTGATCAGTAGTGCCCCGCCCAGCTTTGCAGAAATGGACAGGTTGCATTTTTACCCAAGATGACTATTGTCAGCTTTCCACGAGCTGGAAATGCTTTTCTGCTAAGGAATGCTGCAGAGTAAGCTGCATAATTAGTGACAAGTGGTAGCACAGCTGTCTGAGCTGTCTGTTGCGTCCTGAGCTGCAGGAGCCCTCATCAAGACCAGGACACAAAGTGTGCAGAGGCACAGAAAGCACCTATTAAACAGCATGCAGTCCAGCTAAAAGGAAAGAAACTGCATTCTCCTCCTCTTTACCATGTTCTGTTATTTCCTTCCTTGAGTATTCCGGAAATAAGCCTTTTAAAACAGGGACTGTATTTCTTTGTTTTGGTTTTTTTGGGGTGGTGGGTTTTTTGGTTTTGTTGTTTGTTTTTTAAGACTATAACATCTCAGTAGCTGTATGGGGCTACAGCATCAAGAGGGAAAAACAGAACTTAGTGTTACAGAAACTTTACATGATGTTTACTGGTCACTCCCTGTATTGCAAAGAGAAATATCCAAAGGCAAAACCAGAACATTTTTAAGAGAAGAAAATAAAGCTAAGATTTCAGAATCATGCACTTTGCTTTATCCACTTAAAATTCTGTCACACAACTTTAAAACGTCTCTTTAATCTTCTTAGTGGAGAACAAAACCTACTTGCTTTAGAAGAATAATAGTATATTTTAGTTTACATTGTAAATATAGGGCAAGCACCCTGCATATCAAATGTAGCTTTGGGGTTTTGGGGTTTGTTTTTGTTTTGTTACTGCATTTCCATGGCTATTTACAGCATGCTGCTCAACATATGCCAATACACTCACTACTTCAGCTACATACTCTCCTATACAACTCAGCTCCTCCGATACCTTACCTTCATGTTACCTTCTGCTGAGCCTGTAACAAAATAGTCCTCAGAAGGATCCAGTGCAAGGGCCTTAACAGCTGATTCATGTGCTTGGAAGGTGTAAAGGATTTGCCTCTGTCTGATGTCAAAGATGCTGATATATCCCTTCCTACCTCCAGAAATTATCAGTTGATGTTTAGGTGCATACTGAAGTACTGTGGCACCGTGATC